ATTAGCCTGCCGTGCGTGACCTTTTCATAGGCCTTACTAAAGTCCATATTGACAACATCCACTGCCTTATGCTCATCCATCTTGTTGGTTATCTCTTCGAAAAACTCTTGAAGATTTGTCAGACATGACTTTCCATGCACAAATCCATATGACTATCCCTAACTAGACCTTGACTATCCAAATGTTGGTTTATCCTGTCCCTCAGTATCCTCTCCGATAACGTGCTTACCGCTGATGTCAGGCTCAGTGGCCTGTAATTCCCTGGCTTGTCATTGCTACCTTTCTTAAACAATGGAACAACGTTAGCCACCTTCCAATCTTCTGGAACTTCACCAGTGCTAAAGATGAAGCAAGGGCCTCTGCAATTTCTTCCCTAGCCTCCCACAATGTCCGAGGATAGACTTGATCAGGCCTAGGGGATTTATCTACCTTAATGCGCTTTAAGGCTGCAAACACCTCCTTTCTGGTAATGTGTATGCAGTCCAAAACATCCCCACTGTTTCCCTTATTTCCTTAGCATCCATGATCCTCTCCTCCGTAAACACTGAGGAGAAATATTCATTAAAAATCTCCCCCATCTCCTGTGGCTCCACACACAAATGGCCATGTTGATCTTAAAGGGGACCTATTCTCCTCCTAGCCACCCTCTTGCTCTTAATATGGTTATAGAACCTCTTGGGATTATCTTTGACCTTATCTACCAGATCTACCTCATACCCTCTTTTTGCTCTTCTGATTTTCCCCCTTGAGTGTGATCCTACACTTTTTATAGTCTTCTAGGGATTCACTTGAGCCCATTAGCTTAAATCCAATGTATGCCATCTTCTTTTTCCTGACCACAGTGTCAATATCCCTCATCAGCCAGGGTCCTTAAACCTGCCAGCTTTTCCCTTCACCCTAACAGGGACATTCTATCTCTGGACTCTTGATACAATCTTTTAAAAGCCTCCCATTTTCCATTTGTTCCTTTTCCTTCAAACAGACTCACACAGTCGACCTCTGCTAGATCCTGCCCAATGGCCCCAAACTTAGCCCTGCTCCAGTTTAGCACCTTAACCTGTGGGCCTGACCTATTTTTTTCCATAACTATGTTAAAATTAAGAGAGTTATGGTCACTGGACCCAAAGTATTCTCCGACTGACACTTCAGTCATTTGCCCGACCTCATTTCCTAAGAGGAGGTTCAGTGTTGCACCCTTCCAAGTAGGACCCTCCACCTATTGATTGAGGAAACTTTTTTGGACACGTTTGACAAATTCCCCATCCCATCCAGGCCTTTTACACTCTGGGTGGCCAGAAATTAAAATCTCCAACCGATTACTACTCTTTTGTTCCTACAGGTATCTGCAGTCTAATTTGTAAATTTTAAAATAGGTGCCTGGGCATCCAAATCAAGGCCATGAATTTAATGGGGTCTGAGCATTACTTGCAAGACTGACATTTATTGTCCATCCCTAATTACCCTGAAGAAGATGCTGGTGAGCCATTTTTTCTGAGCCACTGCAGTCCATGTGGTGTGGGTGCACCCATAGTACTGTTGGGAAGGGAATTTCAAGATTTTGATCCAGTGACAGTGAAGGAAAGACCAAATATGTTCCAAGTCAGAATGGTGTGTGACTTGAAGAGGAACGTGAAAGTTTGATATGCCAATATGTTTGCTGCCCTTGTCCTTCTAGTGGTAGATGTCGCAAGTTTCGAAGCTGCTGTTGGAGTGTTGATGATTTACTGCAGTGCATTTTGCAGATGGTACACATTGCTGCTACTGTGCTTCAGTATATCTTTTCTAAATCTCTCTCCTCTAACCTTAAAAATGTGCCCCCTAGCCTTGAAATCCCCCATTCTAGGGAAAGGATGGCTTCCATTAACTCTATCTATACCTCTGCTCATTTTATAAACTTCTATCAGGTTGCCTCTCAACCTCCTACATTCCAGTGAAAAGGTCCTAGCTTATCCAGCCTTTCTTTATAACTTAAACCTTCCATACCCTGCAACATCCTGGTAAATCTCTTGTGAACCCTCTCCAGCTTATTAATATTCTTCCTTTAACTGGGTGACCAGAACTGGACACAGTATTCCAGAAGAGGCCTCACCAATGTCCTGTACATTGTCCTCAATGTCCTCAACATGACTTCCCAACTCCTATACTCAAAGGACTGAGCAATGAAGACAAGCATGCCAAACATATCTTTAACCACCCTGTCTATATGTGATGCAAACTTCAACGAATTTTGAAACTGCACCCCTAGGTGCCTCTGCTCTACAACACTACCCAAGGCCCTAGAATTAATTATATAAGCCCTACCCTTGTTTATTGTACCAAAATGCAATACCTTGCACTTATCAAGATTTAAATCCATCTGCCATTTTTCAGCCCATTGACCCATTTCATCAAGATCCCTTTGTAATCTTAGCCTTCTTCACTTTCTACTGTGCCACCAATTTTGGTGTCGTCCGCAAACTTACTTACCATTGCCTTCTATATTCTCATCCAAATCATTTATATAAATGACAAACAGACATTTTCCTCTTAATAATGCCCCTACACTCTTTATATTGATTTAAGAGATTCAATTGAACCAAATTGTCTATATCTTTTTTATTCTTGACTAGAATGTCAATATCTTTATTCATCCATTGTTCCTTAATCTTACCAACCTTACTGTTCACTCTAATAGGAACATACTGCCTCTGAACTCTCGTCATCACACTCTTGAAAGCCTACCATTTATCAGACGTCCTTTTACCTGCAAACAGTGTACTCCAGTCAATTTGACAAATGTCTTCTGCTGCTGTTTTAAAGACCTGGTGGCCAAAATTTTGAAGATCGTAGCCACAATATGTTCACTGTTCCAGTCACTGAAAAGATTTCCAAATCTGCCTTTTTTTTGCGCTTTCCCTCGTGCACTGTAGGCTCTTCCCGAAAATCTGATAAACATGTCACAATGCTGACTGCCTGGGACATGTGAAATGCCCACTTCAGGCTTTGATTTGATCCAGCTGTTTTTAAGGTGTCAGTTTTGAGGTATCATCTGATTTGATCAAACTCACTAATAATCTGCCTTTTCTAGAACTATTTCTTGAACCGTATCTATATCTTTCAGTACTCTGAGTCCTAACTATGGTAAATATAAAACAGAGAGTGCCTGCTGAAACACAGAGATTAACTCTGCTTGCCCCTGCCCTTGCCAAATCAGACGTCTGTTTTCAGGTGAAAGTAAGTGTAACATTTCTGAACTATTCTCAATATGGTGACCTCGCAACCCTGCCACTTAACCCTTTCTGCTGCATTAATCATCGAACCATAGAATCCCTACAGGGTGGAAAGAGGCCATTTGGCCTGTCGAGTCTGCATTGATCCTCTGAAGGACGTCCCACCCAGCCCTAGCCCCCCCACCCTATCCTCATAAACCCACATTTATCATGATCGATTCACCTAACCTGCACATCTTTGAACTGTGAGAGGAAACTGGAATACCTAACAGAAACCCATACAGACAAGGAGAGAACAAGTAAATTCCACACAGACAGACACCAAATCTAGAATCAAATCCAGGTCCCTGGCGCTGTGAGGCAGCACTGCTGACCACTTAATATCCTTGGTATTGCTGTAAAAATCTACCAGGATGTTTACCTATATATTTGCAAATTTGTTCTTGAAGCTCAGAATTCCTTACATTTGCTTATACGTTGCTTTGGAGATTCAGTATATCCCAATTCTGCATGTTTTACTGGCTGAAGTCTTGATGCTGCCTTCACTTTTCTATAGATTGAATTCATTATGATGATTTCTCCTTTATGTGCCTATCTTTGTAGATATAGGCTCACTCTGTCTTGGTACTGAGGCCCTGTTCAGGTAGAATTTGCTTCTTTATCTTGTATCTGAAAAATTGACTCAACCGGTATCTCATTTATTCAGCTTGTCACTTCTCTGGAGGCCTGTGGGAAACCGTTTGTCAAGTTTCTTTGGTAACGTCTCGACTGGGTCTGTGTCAAGCTCTCTAATTTCTTTTACTGAATCTTTAATTTGATTAATACAAATTATCATGTTTTTTGCAGAACTCCTTTGACAATGAAGTTTGAAGTTTCCCAGCTGGGATTTCTTTTCTTCTGAACTGTTACAGCCTTGGCTTGACTCCAGCCATGTACAATTAATACTAAATGGTGAAACTTATCACAGAATTGTTACAGGACATAAGGAAACTATTATGTTTGGCAAGTCTGTGCCAACTCCTAATGCCATTCCCCTGATTTCTCCAATGTAACCTTGCACATTATTCATTTTCAGGCAAAAATCCAGTTTCTTCTTGAGAGTTTTGATTGACTGTGTCTTCACCTGACTATCAGGCAGTACATTGCAGGTCCTAACCAATCACTGTGTGAAAAGGTTTTTCCTCATGTCTCCATTGCTTCATTTGCCAATCACCTTTAATCTCTGTACCACCTTGTCTTGATCCTTCCACCAAAGGGAATAGTTGTTTCCATCTACCCTGTCTTCCTTACTACCATCATTCTTTGCAGCATTTTATCTAATCCTTTCCCATCTTTCCACTGAGTTTTGCTGTTTTGGCAATGGTTGAGGGATTTTGTGATGGGCTTAAAGTCAAGAAAATATAAGATAAGAAATGCTGAACTGTGGTTTTGCAGGAATCAACATGGTTTCAGCTAGTTTTTGTATCTAATTTAACTAAATTCAAAGGCGTAATATTCTGTGCTGTGAACCAGTGCTGCAGTGAACTGGACTGCAATTGCCAAACACATTTCACCTGGATTGAACGAAAATTGAGACTCCATTCCAAAGCTTTCAACTGGATTCAAAGGAACAATCCCAGAAGTGTATGGGTGCTTATGACCATCATCTATTTTTTGAGGAAAAATAGGAAATTCTACACCAACAGTTTCAGAATTCTGGTGTCTACCCATTACCTTGTGGTATTAAAATGAATCGCAAATTAAGCATGTTTTAGAAAAGTGAATATATACCTGTTTGCTTATCATTTGTAGATTCTGAAAATATTTGTTGACAACCCATTTGCCATTGTGCTTCTTAAGCAAGCTACATCTGTACGCTGTTTAGACATGAGTACATCACGCAACAAACTGGCTGTGGTGGATGAACACAACACTTGTCTGGTATATGACATAAGTACAAAAGAACTCCTTTTCCAGGTAAGTTGGATGTAGTCAAGGTGTAGATATTCTATGAAGAAGTGCCTTCTATTTGTTGCTGTGTGCAGTGATAATATGAGCAGTAATGCCCTACACCATTGAAGAAAGTTGGCTTTGTGCTTCAAGGCGACGCCTAGTGGAAAGCCGAATTTGTTAGACTGTCTCATTGAAGCTCCAAATCCAACACAATCTTACACTGCTTTGCCTGTAGCTTTAAATATGATTATTGCAAATTGAAATTATGGTGCAGTATTCGGCTTGGAGCATTTGCCTTCCTTTGGGTAGCATTATTGTTGTTTAGGTGGGATAAGGAAAGATAGCAATTTTGATCATTCCATTTTTCAGATGTGCTTCTCAGTCAGGCTGCCATTGCTGCGTTATTGGATTTAAAGTTAGGAATTCAGTAAATAAGCTATTACCATTCATTGGTGATGCTGTCTCTTTCTCACCCCCAATATTATATTCAGTCATAGCCAATAATAATAGGGATATAGGAGCACAAGTATGAAACCACGAGTGCCCTGTGGCCTAACTCCATAAACCTGCCTTTGGCCCATATCCCTTAACACCTTTGCTTAACAAAAATTGACTTATCTCAGAATTGAAACTAACAAGTCATCTAGCATCAACTGCCATTCATGGAAGAGAGTTCAGACCTCTGCCATCCTAACATCTCTCCTGAACAGTCTATCCCTAATTCTCAGACTGTGCCCCCTAGTTCTAGAATCTACAATCAGTGGAAGTAGTTTATCTTTACTTTCCTGTTAAAATCATGAAGACTTTGATGAGGTACTTCCTTACTCTCTCATTCTAGAGAAAACAGGCCTTATTTATATAATCTCTCCTCATAATTTTATCCCTGAATATTGGATATATCCAAGGTTGATATATCCAGTATTACTGCTGATTCTGAGCTCCAGTGCCTGCGGCAATCAGTAATAAGTGTCATAGTTGTTGGAAAATGATGCTTTTTGAAAATTAATACTGACGAATAACCTGTGAAACCTTCCTCCACTCAATGTCCTTTGTAGGAGCCGAATGCCAACAGTGTGGCTTGGAACACCCAGTGTGAAGATATGCTTTGTTTTTCTGGTGGTGGTTTTCTCAACATCAAAGCCAGTAATTTTCCAGTGCATCAGCAGAAGCTTCAGGGCTTTGTGGTGGGATATAATGGCTCCAAAATCTTCTGCTTACATGTGTATGCCATGTCAGCAGTTGAAGTCCCACAGGTATGCTTCATTTTGTGGTTTGATAAATGGTCACGGAGTGCATATGATCAGTGGACATAGTGTTTCGCTGATGCTTTATCAAGTAGATCAGGTATGGCACTGATAATAGAGATGCTTTTGGTTATTGTTAGCTAAACTCAGTCAGGGCAGCAGCTGCAACTGTTCATTTGACTTCAATGCCACTGAGAGCCAAATAGATTTAGTAGCTATTAACACATTTGTTTAAAATGCATGCCAGATAGAGACAAAATAAAAAAAGGATAATCTGGAAATATGAAGCAGGTCAGGCTGCATCTATGGAGATGGGAACAGAGTTAATATTGCAGGCCTCTGATCTTCCGTCAAAACTGGGAAAAGTTAGAGATGTAGTAAGTTTTGACCAAGGGATTGATGAGACAGGGACAAAAGGTAGTCTATGATTGCATGAAAGACAGGAGAGATTGCACGTTGGAAGTGTCAGGCTCACAGGATCAAAGGGAATGGTGCTGGGGCAAGAAAAAAAAGAAGCAAAAGATGGGCCTAGACCAGGCACACTGCTGTCTGAAGGCAAAAATAAGAGAAAAGCTTGAAGTTTTTGTGTCAAATAATTCAGAGAAAACTCAGCCCAGTTCTTGATGGGAAGGGGTCTATGGCTCAAAACTGCCCTTAATTTACCAGTATTGGTGTTAAACTGGCAATATCCCAACAAGATGATTGATGAAGCAAATGAAATGAAATGGTGCGATAGAACGAATCCCCTTCCGGAATGAGACTGAGACCCATTTCTGGAACAGAGCTTTGCTCTGTATCTATCTTTAATCAGTGCTACAAGTACTTAGTTAAAGTGTTCCAATTCATATTACCACAATACAGAAATTCACATAAAAGAAATTAAGCTGCTTTGGACTAGAGAAGGCGATGTTTTTTCATATGTGACCAGAAGGAAAGTGAAAGGCTTCACTGAGTTCTCATAATTAGACAAGATTTCATTAAATGAATGTGACAGACCTGAATCAGATTGACTAATAGAGGGAGACAAGTCTGTCTGCCGTGTAACCCATCCTGAATCATCTAATAAACTTATCGTAAGGCATAGCATTGGTCAGAGATGTGCTGTGTTGAGTTATCTCCTTCAGTGCAAGATTAAGAGATGTTTAAAAATGCTAATGTTTAAAAAACAAAGTTCTGTTTCACAGGTGCAATTAGATTTGATCATAAATAACAGGCAACTTTCTTGTTTTAAAAAAAAGTCTGCACCCATGTACCAGTACTTGGAGAAGAAAATGTATAAGGAAGCCTATCAAATTGCCTGCTTGGGTGTAACAGAGAATGATTGGAGAGACCTAGCAATAGAGGCTTTGGAAGGGATGGACTTCGACACTGCTAAAAAGGTACCAGTAACACACACAACTCTCCAGGCGTACACAGATAAATGGAGTAAGAAGTTCAGCTTCTTAGAGATTTATTAAATTGATACATGTCAGCAAAAAATAGAGACACACCCCTTCTCTGAGCAGATTTCGTAATGGAGGAATGGTCTCAATTCCAAAACCACACTGTCCCTGAATATCAGGTCACTTCATTGACTTTTTGTCTTCTTGTGGCACCTATCCACTATAAAAAGAGGTTAAAAAAATTGACCCCTGGTACTACCCTGAAAAGCTATTTATGTCATATACTGCTATTGCAAAGCAAGTGAAGCAGTTTTAGTCCTGTCACTATCAGTTTGCCAAAATATGTTTGTCCATCCAACACTTCGACAGAAATTGTAGCGTTTTGTCTTTACTGATTCCTCTGCTCTGTGCAGTGAAGGATAGGGATGGAGAAGCATGTATCCAACGATGCTGCCAGTGTTAGAACAGAGTGAGTTTCCTACGGTGTGTTGAAGGCAGGAAAAGAAAGATGTTAACAAGGCATGAGTCCTGGAGTTTTAATTCATTTAGTGTAACTTGTTCTCTGGAAGATCTATCCCCAACTGGATTCTTTGGCCAAAATGGCCTTTTTATGTGAAGTAATGTCTGTCGACGATCTCTTTTTGTGTCATCCTTATTGAAATATCAGTGCACATTTGTTTTTGGAATTTTCAACTGTCATTTTTCTCATCCATCTTCGGTAGCTTAAAGTTTATTAATCTAAACTTCTGATTTGGGGTTCAGTGGTTTCATTCATGGAGGTTGCCAGCTTGATTCATCTCTAGAAAGACTGCAGGAAATCTGCTTCTCGTGGATCTGGAGCTGTTGTCAGCAGTGCACACAAACAGAATGAAGAGGCCTTAAAGTTCGTACTTAGCAATTTGGTCTTGACATTTATCTACACAGAAGATGTGGGGTGGGACGAATTTCTCCTGGTGCCAGCAGTTTGTGACCTGAGTAACCACTTCTCTAGGATCAAACAAGGTCTTTCAGTGAACTTAACCTGTTCTCAGATATTGAATTAGATCATAGCACAGATGTGGAAACTCTGAATTGCCACAGGATGGCAATCATTAGCAGAATTTCCTTGGTTCTAACATATAGTCTTATGTGTTCTTGTAACAGATAGTTATTGGTTGCTGGGAAAGATGACTAAATGAATGATTGGCTTTGCATCTAACAGTCATTAAATCAAAGTGTTAAATTTCTCTGCGACAGGATGCTCTCACAGCTCAGTCATGAGGAGCCAACGTGTTGTGGACTTCTGAGTTTCAGCTATTACATCTTATTCCCCATATTTGGTTCGATAAAACCTTTTTTTTTTCAAATTTGAAGCATTAACTTTTTATTTCCACATTTTGCAAAGTTGACTTCCAAATTCTTGAACCATGATTTGAAATTGTGTTTCCTAAATTACTCGACCAATAACATAACCACTGCAACATTAGAATATGTGTGAGGAGCGTATGTGTGCAGTGTCCCTTTCTAATGGTATGTTTTGCATATCTAGCTCACAAAATTTGCTGAATTTTTTTGACTTGAGACTGCAACGAATTTCTAATCATTAATCCTAGAATTTGCTGCAACTGTCTGGTTTCAAAAAAAATGTTATGCTATATCCAAGGAAATCTGCTCAAACTGTTTTCAAACTTCTTCTGTGGTGGGTGCTATATCCTTTGTAACCTCTGACTCACCGTGTGTAATTCTTACATGTGATTACACCATGTGTATGCCACCATGTGACTTTCTGCTAGGCTTACAAGAAAGTATCAGACTGACATTGGGAGACCATTTTTTTAATGTGGTGTACACTATCTTTAAGAAAGATGTGTTCACAATAGCATTTGGATGATTTTTGTCACATCTACCTCAAGGAAAGATTTTGCCTCAATTTGGTGACTCTTCTTTGGGATTTATTGGAATATGTAGGGGACGGAGTTCTTTGGAGCTGCATAGTCAATCTCTAGCAAGTAGTACTGCAATATTTTGTTATCTGTTGAAAAGTAATATATCTGTATTTCACTAAAGTTTTAAAGAGAAATGGAAAGCCTTGTGTAATAGTGAAGTGGGATAAATGTTGGTTAATACAATGGGGAGAGCTCCCTTGCTGTTCTTTGAAAAGCACTGCAGCGCGTTTTATTTCTGTCTGAGATGGACCTCCGATTTAACCCGAAAGTCTGCATCTCTTTTGTGCAGCACCCCATCAGTACGTGAGGGTGCAACAGTACAGCAATGAGGCATGAGCCTGGATTGATTATGTGCTCAAGTGGAGTAGGATTCACCTGTATGCCTAAATCTAATGTTTTAATTAATCGGCAGGCATTTATCAGAGTGCGGGATCTCCGCTATCTGGAGCTTATTAGCAGCATTGAGGTAAGGAAATTACTTTGTAATTTTTAAAAAATATTCTTATAATTATTGAGATATTATATTGAACGTATTTAGCAACTGGAAAACATGGGTACAATTTCTTTTGCCATTTCATAGTTGACTTTGATATGCTTTGACTTCATCATGAACCACTTCTCGCTAACTCTAAAGCTCTAAAATTCAAAATAATGCTCCATCCAGACTTGAGAGGGGAATGGCAGGATTCTTCTTGCAAGTTATAGTCTCACTTTTTGGCCTAAATTTTTCATTCTAGGTGGGAACCCCTATTTCCTAGGTCAGATAAAAAGTTACTTATTTCCTAACTCTGATTTTTTTTGGACTCTTCTGAAGGAGAATCATGTAGAAATTACGCAGCACAGGAATTCCTCCCAGAGGACAATGGAGAGAGCGTTCCTAAAGACACATCCACTTTTTATGGCACTAGCTGCCATAGTACAGTGTGTAAATGGCTAGAACATCTTTGAGAAACAACAAAACTGAGGGTTGGTGTGTGGGGCGTTATGACTAAGTGAGGAGGGGTTAATCAACTCCCCTCTTTATACACATGCAAACACAGGTATAAATTTAAGAAGTGGACAGTATCTAGTACAAAATACAAATTAAACTGAATATTCAGTTTAAAAATCCTTGAGCTGTTAGGTTTTAACCTGAGATCACAGCTCTTTGCTCATGACTCATGGGCATTGATGGCTGGGCCAGCATTTGTTGTCTGTCCCTAGTTGCCCTTGAGAAGGTGATGGTCAGCTGCCTTCTTGAATGTCCGGAGTCCTTTAGATGTAGGTAGACACATGATTAACTTAGGGAGGGAATTCTGAGATTTTGACCCAGTGACACTGAAGGAACAGTGATATATTTCAAAGTTAGGATGGTGAGTGGCTTGCAGGGGAACTTGCAGGTGACGGTTTTCCTATGTATCTGCTGCTGTCATCCTTCTAGATGGAAGTGGATGTGGGTTTAGAAGGTGCTGTCTAAGGATCTTTGCAAATTTCTGCAGTGCATCTTGTAGGTAATACACACCTGCTGCTACAAAGTATTGGTGGTGGAGGGAGTGGATGCTTGTGAATGTGGTGCTAATCAAGCTTTATCCTGGATGGTGCCGAGATTCTTGAGTCTTGTTAGAGCTGCACTCGTCCACACTCTTGACTTGTGCCTTGTAGATGTTGGACAGGCTTTGGAGAGTGAGGAGGTAAATTACTTACTATTTGTGGTTTAATCAATGTTTTCTATTCACAGCAGTAGCAAAATTTGTAGATATATTCCTTGTAAAATTGATGTTTTTCCAGTTTGCTTTGTCACTGGGTGAGATAAAAGGGAGCTAATCCGGCTGCTACTAATCCTTTCTGCCAATGTAGCTGCTTGAAATGTGGTTAATTTGTGTATTCCTGACACAATTGTTTTTCCAAGTGGAATAATTTGCAGGCAAATTTTTCATCCCATCAAGTGAAATTTACCCATAAAGGTGTAAATCAAGCAGGAGTTACAGATCTGAGTTTCTCTATGCGTTTTGCTAACCAAGTTAATTTTGGCACAGCCTGGTTCTTGTTTCTTAATGGTTCCATAAGCTGATTCAGCATGTGGCTAGCTGGTTGCTGCAGCCCTCTTGCTCATGTTTTCTCCTTTCTGGTTGAGGGGAATGTTGGCGGATCAGCAAGGGAGTAGGGCCAGTGGGTCAGTTATACAGTTACTCAGGAATTAGACATGGGTTTTACCTATTCAACATTTCCTCAGCAATTATCCTGATAAGTAAGTCTGAACCTTCCAAAATCTAACTCAGAGTTGGAAACAGACTGTTATTCAACCACCAATATGCTGTGTTACCTCCCTGGTGCCAGGGTAAGCTACATCCTGGAAAGAGTACACACCAGTTTAGAGGAAATAGAAGGACCAGCAGTCACAGTCCATTGGAAGGATGATGATTGAGGCTACAGTTTAAGGAGAAAGTTAAAAAAACAGAACCTCGGAGATTACTCCCATGCCATAAGCCAGAAGTAGAAGGATATTGCAAGGTAATGCATGACTCGAGACATCCTGCAATGGGAGGGCTTAAGATTCCTGGGCCGTTAGACCGATCCTATGGCAAGAGTGAGGCTTACAACACACAAATGAAGTGGGCTGGCTAACTCGTACTGTGAAAGCAAATTTAAATTAATTTGACAGAGGTTTGAGCACCAAAGTATAATGTTAAAAAATGGAAACAGTCTGCATAGAGAACTATCACTAATTGTTAATTAAGTGGGGTCACAGAAAATTCAGGAAACTTCCAGTTAAATTGAGACACGTGTGTAAACATGCTGTGTATGGTTCATAAGGTTGATTAAGTGCAGTCAACTTGTAATTAGTGATGTTCCCAGATATCTGCCTTTCTGTCCTTCTCTAGGTGGAAGAAATCATGATTTTGGAAGATGCTGTTGAATGAATCTTGGTGAATTGCTGTAGTGCATCTTGTGGGTGATGCACACTGCTGCCACTGAGAGGAGTGAATGTTGAAAGTGGTGTTCAGGGTGCTAAAGAAGCAGATTGCTTTGTTCTGGATGGTTTCTTGGTGTTTGAGGTGTGGAGAGTTTTCCATCAAACTCCTGATTTTGTGCCATGTATATGCTGACAGGCTTTGGGTAAACAGGAGGTGAGCAACTCATTGCCAGATTCCCAACATCTGACCTGGTGTTGTAGTCACAGAATTTACATGGCTATTCCAGTTCAATTTCTAGTCAATTGGTATCCCCAGTACGTTGATAGTAGGTGATTCAGTTATGATAATGCCATTGAATAGCAGGAGCAAAGGTTCAGTTCTGTCTTAGTGGAAATGGATGTTCCCTGGAACTTGTTTGGCACGACCATCACCTGGCACTTATTAGCCCAAACCTGGATATTGTCCAAGTCTTGCTGCATTTGGACATGCCATTAATGTCAAGGTAAAGCAGCCAACTCATTGGTGTTTGCCCCTATTTTAAGCTGTTTTGTTGGCCTGCCTTTGGAAAGTTTGCAGCAATCCAGGTGATGACGTTCAGAATTCATAATGTTTTCCTCTAAAGGAGTGCATTTTGGATTATGTTTTTCTTACATATTGGTGTTGTCCCATGAAAGCTAGCTTTGAGAAACATGAAGAGCTTGGAATCCACTTACTAGAATAATTGATCGTTCTAAACCAAAGGATATCTACAGTTAGCCCAAATTTGTACAGTCTCTTCTGTTCCCTTTCAATATATAATTTAACTCAGTGTGAGAAGTGTTGTATAATCTCTATTTGTGTTTGAAGTTATTACTAATTGGATTCTTTCCTTAACAGGAGCGTAAAAAGCATGGTGAAAATGACAACGAGTTGTTTCTCGCAGATGTACATGCCTACCAAGCCAAGTTCCATGAGGCAGCTAAGCTGTACAAGAAGACTGGAAATAACAGTCGTGCCTTAAATATGTATACTGACTTATGCATGTTTGATTATGCCAAGGTACTATCTTACTAATGATCTTTAGGATGGTTTTAAACTTCATTTCTTGTAGTTTCAAGTTTTAACATACACCAGCATCTATAGAGTGTATCTCGCACAGTTTTTTGTCTATTTCGCACTTCTTTGAATTTACCTCTAAATTCATGGCTGACCTTTTTCATTTGTGCATTAGGATCTCTTTAACATCTCAGACATTTTTAAGTGACACAAACAAAACAAGCATTTAGCCTACTTGCCAACCAAAACATGTTTTTTTTAATATAAATAACCACGTATCAAAAGCCCTAAAGGAGTAACTTGATTTTAATAAAAGCATAGTGCTGCCAATGCTGGATATCTGAAATAAAAACACAAAATGCTGGAGAAATTCAGCACATCTGACAGTGTTTGTGGAGAGAGGAACTGGATTAATGTTTCAAATCTAATACGACTCTTCTTTTGAATGACAGTTATGTTGGACTCAAAATATTAACTCTTTCTCTCTCCATAGATGCTGTCAGACCTGCTGAGTTTGAGAGCCAACGTTGACTCTCCTGCTCTTCTGATGCTGCCTGACCTGCTGTGTTCCTCCAGCTCCACACTGTAATTGACGCTGACTCCAGCATCTGTAGTTCTTGCTATCTCCAAGACCTGCTGCGTTTGTCCAGCAATTTCTGTTGTTGTAATTTGATTTTAATGTTCTCTGCTAAGTCAACATTCTGGCATGACTGCATGAGGAGTTTAAGCAACTAGGAGCTGGAGAGGAGGAGGGTGAGCTCAACATGACATGCCATAGTCACAATCACCTAGGTTTGAACACCAGAGTGTATACTCTGGAACAATGTGAAGCTGGCACCTTCCCTGGATCTGATTCGTTCCTGTTCTCTGTTGTACAGAGCTGAGGCCTGGTCACTCCTGACAGGGAGGGAAAGGAAACAAGAAAAAATTGTCTGTAGAGCAATTTTGCATGTTTTATAGTCACTTAAAATCTCCATTATTAGACAACAGTGAACTTGGGATAAATATGTTGATGATTCTGGTTCTACCCAAGCACCACTAGAGACCTTGAGTTTAAAACCTGTTTTAGTAAGTTGTGAAATTTAATTCAATGAGTTTGGTCTGACACCAAGAGCAAAATGACCATTAAAGCTTCTGATTTGTTGTGAGGACCAGATGACTTGGCCATATCCTTCATTGTAGGGAATTGATATCTTTTATCTGTTCTATGTAACCATTTATACTAATTTAAATCATGATGATCTTAAGGCAACAAAAGTACGCAATTGATATGGCCTTGCCACTGTCATCACTGCCCTACCAAATCAGTTAAAAAAGGAAAGGATTAGCAAATTAAGTAACATAGAAAATACTGAAGAAAGTCAGCAGGTCTGGCAGCAACTGTGGAAAGAGAAACAGAGTTAATGTTTCAAGCCTGGTATGATTTCTTCAGAATTGAAAGGTGTTAGAAAGTTTTTTTTTAAAATATATTTTTGACAAAGTCAGAACAGCAACAGGGCAAATGGCATCGAAGCCCAGTGCAAAAAACATAGGAGTTGTTAATAGTAGAGAAAAAAAAGATGAGAAATGGGTGTAAGTTAAACTGTGAAAGGAGGAAAGAATTGGTCCTCTTCAATAAGTGCAAAATAAACAAGGTGTAAACAAGTCAAGACTATGGGGTTGGGGGTAGAGAATGTAAGAGAAATGGAGAACAGACATAATGTGGTCAGTTTCTGAAGTTATTAAATTCAATATTGAGACCTCAAGGCCAAAAGTGCGTAAGTGGAAAATGAGATGTTCTTCCTTGAAATAACACAGTGTGGAGCTGGAAGAACATAGCAGGATAGGCAGCATCAGAGGAGCAGGAAGGTTGATGTTTCGTGTCGGGACCATTCTTCAGAAGAAGGGTCCCAACCCGAAACATCAACTTTCCTGCTCCTCTGATGCTGCCTGGCCTGCTGTGTTCCTCCAGCTCCACTCTGTGTTATGTCTGACTCCAGCATCTGCAGTTCTTACTATTTCTGATGTTCTTCCTTGAGCTTGCATTGTGCTTCATTGGAACATTGCAGCAAGCCTAGGACAGAAATGTTAGCAAGGGAGCAAGGTGGTTTATTGAAATGGCAAACAACTGGGAGGTCAGGATTATTCTTATAGACAGGGTGGGGGTACTCTGCAATGTAGTCACCCAGTCTGTATTTGATCTCGCCAATGTAAAGGAGGCTGTTGTGAGTAGCAAATACAGTAGACTAGATTGAAAGAAGCACAAGCAAAATGCTACCTCACCTGGGTTTGAGGCCTTGGACAGTGAGGAGGGAGGAGGTGAATGGACAAGTGTTCCACCTTCCATGAGTGCATGGGAGGGTGCCATGTGGGAGTATGAAGCGTTAAGAGTGATGGAGGAATGGACCTAGGTACAGTTTCAGTGGAGGGGAGGGGAAGATGTGTCTAATGGTGCTATCCTGCTGGAGGTGGTGAATATGGTGGAGGATGATCCTTTGAATGCAGAGACTAGTGGGGTGGAAAGTAAGGACAAGATAGATCCTATCATTGTTCTGGAAAGGAGGGGAAGGGGTGAGGGCAGAAGTACCTGAATTCTCAGTTGAGGAAAATGACAGTCATGTCAGAGGCAGCCCAGTGGAAGGTAGCATCTCAAAACAGAATAGACGCGACAAAGGCACAAGGAGAATTGAATGGAATTCTTGCAGGAAGCAGGGAGTGAGGAGGTGTAATTGAAATAACTTTGGGAGTCAGTGGGCTTATAATGGATAGTGTTGGACAGTCTATACACCCAATGGAAACAGTGAAATCAAGGAAGAGAAGGCAAATGTTAGAGATGGACCAGAGGAAGGTCAAATTAAGTAGTTTAGATCCAATTAATAGCTTGTTAAAGGAAGCCTGATTATTTTATAGAAGAACCTTCTTGTCTAGCTGGAGTTACAGGTATACTGCCTGTGAATGAATATCTGATTTAATTTAATTTAACTTTTCTGGATCTTTACCAGAGGAAATATTAATTATCCATTTTATCACAATTTCCTCAGGATTTCCTTGGCTCAGGTGATCCCAAGGACACAAAGATGTTGATTACTAAACAAGCAGACTGGGCCAGGAACATCAATGAACCAAAAGCAGCTGCAGAAATGTACCTGTCTGCAGGAGAGCATCTAAAAGCAATTGAGATCATTGGGGACCATGGTTGGGTTGATATGTAAGTCTGTGACATGGATTTAAATAGCCATTTGTATACCTGAAAGAGAGAAGAAAAGAGATTTCTGGATTCCCTCTTTTTTTTCTTAAAATGTAATTACATAAAATTGATAATATTGCGGCATGCACTGCTTTTATGATCCCAGCTGGTGTTATTATTGGGCAAGTCAGGTCCCAGATGGGAACCTGTCTTGATGCAAAATATTATTTTGGTTTTAGCGAAGTGATCACTTGCTGGCATGTAAGTGTACATGTAGATGCTGTAGATTTTGCTTTAACAATAAAACGGAACTTTATTAAAAAAAGAATGTAAATAAAATAGAATAATCCCAACAATCTGGTCATGATAGAAATTCAAAGATTTTGAACACATGGTAAGAGAATAATATCATTAACCGTAACATACTCATTTATAAGTTGAAAAGAAACAAAACAGCTTTTGTGTAGTACTCAAAACACCACTGGTGTAGTTCCCATAATGCCACCTGTGGTTCAGTCCCTAAATCACCAGTTATATAATACTCATGCCATTATCCCTGTATCTAACACCTTGTTAAGTTTAGTCACTTGGTACTTCAATTATTATACTGAAAGTATGATGGCTTCCTCCTGGAGCTATCCTACACCTGACCTGCAATGTACTTAGCTTAAATAAGTTGGCTGGGTGGCTGGTTTGCCATGCAATGTGATGCTAACAGCATGGATTCAGTTCCCACACTGGCTAGGGTTACAATAAAGGAGCCTCCTTCTCAACCTCTCCCCTTGCCTGGGTGGTGACCCTTGGGTTAACCACTGCCAATCATCTCTCTAATGAGAGAGCAGTCCTGCGATCTGACCTTACTTATGCCCTATTAAAGCCTTAATTCACTGGTGCCTTGGGTCCCAGTAATGTATTTACTCACTAGTACTGCCCTTTTCCATTGATGTAGTGTGAATACAATCGGATGAACCATCTGTCATTGACGTAGGTACCAGAAATGTGAAAGATGCATCCTTATTAATTGACTTTGTAAAGTCTATCTCACCGACATCTGAGGATGTATACCAAAACTGACTAAATTACCAACCAATACAGACACACATTGACCAAGCCACCAGCCAATACAGACATACACACTGACCAAACAATAAACCAACACAGACATACACTGAGCATGACACAGTTCGTCACCAAGTCACACACTAACCTAAGCATGAAACAATATGGAGAATTATAGATCAAGCCATGAAAGAACATATACATTTCCATTTCTATATTTGCGACAAAACTCCATTGAATTGTAATGAACAGCTTTTGTTTTCCTTGCACAGGTTAATTGATGTAGCTCGTAAATTAGACAAGGCTGAGCGGGAACCCCTATCAAGGTGTGCCTATTTTTTAAAGAAGCTGCAGCATCCCGGATATGCCGCAGAGACATACATGAAAATGGGAGACCTTGAGGCCCAGGTCTTGCTGCATGTAGAGACCAGGCACTGGGAGGAGGTGAGGATGTTTGCCACCAGTTCTTACTGAGAAATAATGGCATGAAAAAGTGCTGCCTTAACGTAATAGCAAGGACAGGTTTACGTACTGTAGTTGTTAATAGATGATGTAACTTTTCAGATTTTTATATAACTAGCAAGTAATAAACATGATTACTGTGTGCAGGAATTCAGCACTGGCAGGGTTTGTATGTGGTGAAGAGAGATAGCAGCATTAACGAAATATTAGGGATCGTGAAGTATTAAGAAAATTGAAAAATTGTGAAAGCATGGGTGCAGACTTGAACTGGTTCTGCAAAGTTTGGAGCCATAAAGCAAAACTGCCCATTGGTTTGATCTACATCAGGCAGTTGATGCTAGGATTTGAAATACTACCTCTCTCATTGCAAGACCTCACATTCAGGAACTTTGGGGGAAATATTGTTCTGGGCATTTGGTGTAGCAACATTGTAAATGTGTTTCAGGAAGATTTACTCAGTTCAGTATTTCTAGTGAAATCATAAGCACGTTTTAAAATGTAACTAATCACAGGAACTCTTCATGGACTCAGTTACAATGTAGCTACCGATAGTCTTCCCCAGAACAATGTTTTCCATATTATTGGTACACTAACGGAGTTCTCCACTTTTGTCTGTTTTGTTCAGGATCTAAGCAGGCCAAATGCAATGATTGGCATTAGTATATGTTCCTTCCATTAACTGGAGGCAAGTTATATCTGTGCTATAGTCCTGTTTACACCCTCAGAATCCCCCTTGCTTGCCCATTCTCATGCCTCTTCCACTTCAAGCGAATAATTTGGCCAATCCTCAGTGACAGACAACTTCTGATTAGCAACCTTGAGTGGACTGTTGAACCATGTTCATGTTCCTCCTGTTTGTTTCTGTTTGTTTGTTTCTATTCAGGCCTTTGCTTTGGTGGCTCGGCACCCAGAGTTCAAAGACACTGTATATGTGCCATATGCACAGTGGCTGGCGGAAAATGATCAATTTGAAGAAGCCCAAAAAGGTGAGAATTTGTTAAACTTGGCCAGATATTGCCAGGGCTCACTCATGTTAGGTAAGGGAAGTGATATTATCCATATCTGGAATTGTTGAAGCTGTCTTTTCTTTTGTGAATAAAATAATAGTTTGTGAGCACATTCTTTGATTTTTCCACGTAACTTTGTAAGTGGGAAATTATTATTTTGCTTACCAAGGAAATAATATGCAAAAAAAATGTAGCTTAAAGTCATTGGCTCTGAAGTACCTTAACTGTGCTTTTGCTGTCCAATGCACCTGACTGGAAATGGGGAGTGACATTATTGTGTAATGTCCCACAAACCTGGAGATTTTCCTTTTGGTCATATGTGAGTGGATCTTCTACTCAATTGGACATGTAGTTGCAAGTTTCTTTTGCCTTTCGTTCACCTCTTTTAAACGTGGGTGATTATGTCAGGGTCAGCCCGCTGAATGAAAAAGAGAGATAGACAAAGAATATCATCCTCTAAATAACTGCAAGAATGCTCCCATGGGAAGAAGAAAAAGAAGTAAACTAGCCTGAGGTTAAACCTTTCCCACCCAATGATATGGAGGCACCAAAGTCCAAAATAAGTAGGGAGATAGTGGTGGATATATACCTCTGGAATCATTGCTGCCCTGCTGGGCCAGCCCTAATGCAGCACCAAGGACACTGACCAGTTTGCTGTAGCTTGACAATTTTCAGGACAGTGATGAGCAGCTTTCTAGGTACATGTACATTATGAAAGATTGTTAAAGGTTTGCTTTGAATTCCTTTGCTGCTGTTTCCAGCGTTTCACAAGGCTGGCCGGCAAGATGAGGCAGTCAAGGTTCTGGAACAACTGACTCACAACGCAGTTCTGGAAAGCCGTTTCAATGATGCTGCCTATTATTATTGGATGTTGTCAATGCAGTGTCTGGACATAGCTCGAGGTAAGGCTACTATTTATTTTGGATATTGTATATGAAGTGCCTGGATAGTGATGCTCCCCACTCCACGACCTAGCAGTTGGTCCATGGTTACAGTGCATGTACACTGCAGAATCGACCCTGACTGGCATCCCCTTTTGAGCAGCTTGCATTGATGGACACCATCAAACAATGGTTTAGGATCTGGGGCTGTCCCATCACTTGCTCACGAGCCCTGTTCCTTGCATTTGTCTTCCTTTTGTTATCCATTGTTTTATATGTGACTGCATTACATTTGTTTGAAATCCTTGAAATACTTTGAGTTCATATAAGTATTCATCGAGGGCTGATTCCAGGAGAAAGTTTTCCAACTTTTGTGAAAACCACCCAATGTGGTCTTCTAGCTGCACCAGTAAGCCCAGAGTGTTTATCACAGGTTAAATTGTTTTGAGTAATAATTTGATATATTTCTGGGAAGACTGATAAGGAATTAGGTGAAAGTCTTTGCATATCAAACAGATGAGTTAATTTGACTTATTAGCCCCTTACTGATGTAAATTTTAGGAGTGAACATCTGTGTGAAATTTGGTTTGTTCTTATTTACTTTGGCGAGATGATTTTTAACTGCTTTTGCATATGTTCAACAGAGAATACAGAGAAGCAACAGGAGATGCTTAAAATGTTTCACCATTTCCAACACCTGGCGGAACTCTACCATGCATACCACTCAATCCAGAGATATACGGTGAGAAACTGCTCAGATTGCTTTCCAAAAACAAGCTTCTCTCTGAAATCTGTCAAGATTTAAGTCAGTCAGTGGATTGCTTACTGTATGAGTCAATTTTATCAGGTGGATGGTTTGTGTTTTTAGGATGAGCAAAAGAACATCCTCAAATCTCATTAAAATTCTCACTGCATTTGATTCCTTCATGTAAAGTATATCAGAATGTGGTTTTGCAATTGGCTTCACCTCAGTAGACTGTCTTTCACTGTGGCTTCTCAGACGGTAAGAGGGAACAAGGTGGCAACATGTATCTCTACAGGATCGAAGACACACTAGGGACCTTGCTACCCTTTAATTAGATATTGAACAATTAAGGTATTTGTGTAATTAAGGTATCCCTTAGCAAAAGGGAGGAAAGAACTTAGAACAATTGTTACAGTAGAGGTAGTATACTAGGCAGACTAATAGGGCTAAATGAAAGCAAAATACTCTGGATGCTGGAAATATAAAACAGAAGATGCTGGAGACAATTAGCAGATCTGGCAGCATCTGTGAAGAGAGAAACAGTGTTAACATTTTGAGTCCAATTTGCCTCTTGATGAAGAGCCATATCTGACTTGAAGCATTAATTCTGTTTTGCTTTCCACAGATGCTGCCAGACCAAATGGGACTAAAGGCTAATAACCTGGTATAAATAAATTATTTAGACTTGAATATAGGAGAGTTGAGCAGTAAGTTAACGGATGATATGAAAATTGGTGGAGTGGTAAATAGCGAGGAGCATATAGATGGGCTGGTCAGATGGGTTGATCAGTGGCAAATGGAATTCAAGCTGGATAAGTGTGAAGTGAGACACTTGGGCAGGACAAACAAGACAATCATCCTGGAAGTGGAAGAAATGATAGAAGAAAGGATAATCAAATAAGTATGGAAATTGGTAGATTGAAGGTAAGGACAAGGGGAATCCTATCTTGATTCTAAAAGGAAGGGGAAAGTGTGAGAGCAGGAAACAGGACAGAAGCCGTTGAGAGCCCTGTCAACAGTGGTCGGGGTCAGGGGATCTGCAAATGAAGAAGAAGAAGAAAAATACATAGAAAAGTTGGTACAGTAGGTTGCATCATTAAAACAGAGCAGTGATGAGAAATGGAACGGAGCCCTTACAGTAAGTAGACAGTGAGAACGTGTAACCCAGGTAACTAGAAAAGCTAGTCATTGCCTAAAAGCTTTAGAACCTTCTGTGTTTGGCAGCATTCTGTAAGCCCGTGGAACAAAACTTGAACACTAATTCTGCTTAAAAATAATTTTCATTTCAAATTAATTTGACTGAATTGAACAGTGTACCCTCTAATGCCTTACATATCACTTTATTGTAATTTACATTTATTCTGGTTTTCTCTGAGTGGTCCATTATGAGGAATGTCATGGTATAATAACATAATGAATCAGGATATAAACCCAAAGTTTATCTTATTTTATTTTCTTTGCAGGATGAACCTTTTAGTTCCCATTTACCTGAAGCACTTTTTAACATCTCCAGATTTTTACTTCATAATCTTACCAAAGAAACCCCTTTAGGCATCTCCAAAGTGTATCCTTTTGTCACCTAAGCTATTTCATACAGCTGAGACTAAAAACCAGAAAATGCTGGAGAAACTGCTCAGGTAAGGCATATGTGGAGGAAGAAACAGCATTTAAGTTACAGTTCAGTGACCTTTCATCAGACTGAAAAAGGTTCAAATGATGTTAGCCAGTATTAGGATGTATTGGTTGTTCTACTGTAACCTATCTCTTTCATCGGCAGTCTCTGGATTTTTTCCCCTGCCTTCTCCTTTTAAGGGACAACATCTTGACTTCCCCAGAATGTCTCTTAAGGTATTCCAGCCAACCTTTGCCCTTTTACCTGTGTCCAAGTTATTAGACCAACGTTCTTTCCTAAAGAAATTGACCCCCTCCCCCACTGCCCCAGATTATTATTTTTACTTTGGATTGTTTCTTGTTCTTTCCATAGTCAGCCTAAATGTTTGATAAATGATCACAGTCCCCTATATGCTCTCCCAGAGATGTTTGATCCAATTGACCTGCCTCATTCAGAAGAACTGGGACTAGCAGTGCCTCCTTTCTCATTACGTGGAGGTGCCGGTGTTGGACTGGGGTGGACAAAGTCGGAAGTCACGCTGCACCAGGTTATAGTCCAACAGGTTTATTTGAAATCACAAGCTTTTGGAGTGCTGCTCCTTTGCCGGGTGAAGTTGAGGTACAGGTGCAGGCTGTCTTGTGCAAATATGATGATGAAGGAGCAGCACTCCAAAAGCTTGTGATTTCAAATAAACCTTGTTGAACTATAACCTGGTCTCATGTGACTTCCACCTTTATCCTTTCTCATTGAATTAGAAACATACTCCTGATCACACACTGGGAACTTTTGCCTCTCTCTGCTGTTTACACTACTACTATTCCAATCTATATTGATCCGTCTCCACCTCCCACAACCTCCCCCTCCTCTTATAACTACCTGAGGCTTTTGCATCCTTCTAATTTCGGCAGTCTATAGCCTACAACAAGCAGTGTATTTGCAATAACAAGGTGTAGAGCTGGATGAACACAGCAGGCCAAGCAGCATCAGAGGAGCAGGAAGGCTGACGTTTCGGGCCTAGGCCCTTCTTCAGAAAAAAAAATTTGCATCCTTTTTGTTCCTTAGCTCTAGCCAAGTCAATTTGGTCCTTGAATGCTGTGGGACATCCTCTTTCTCCAGCTCTCCTTAACCAGTGCCTCCACTGTCACCCCCTTCCCCCCCTCCCCCCACCCCCCCCCCGCCTATTTTGTTCCTACCTTTCCTTAACAGACTTGTATCCAGGAATATTTAACACTTAGTCCTACCCTTCTTTGAGCCAGGTTACAGCCACTACATCATATTTCCACATGACAGCCCTCATCTGTACCTCAACAGTCTTGTACTTACAGCACTCCATGCATTTACAAACATGCACATTAATCAGATTTCAACTTTATTTCATTCTTCCGTACTGTTACTCCATCTATTGTTATTCCTATTTTAGTGTTCTCGCACCTTGATATTCCTGTCTTAATATTATCTCTTGGTACCCACATCTCTGCTAAGTTAGTTAATGTCTTCTCTAAAAGCACTAGCGAAAGGAGCGCCGCAAGGAACTCCCATCTCTCCACGAGCCAGTCTCAATGTTCCAAAAATCCGAAGCCCCCTCTTTTGTACTCGATTCATAAAATTCATGGAATTCCTACAATGTGGACACAGACCATTCATCCCATGCTCCGAAGAGCAGCCCACCCAAACCCACCCATCTCTGAATTTTCCTAGGCTAATCAACCTAGCCTGCACATCCCTCGACACTGTGGACAATTTCTCATGGCCAATCCACCCAACCTGCACATCTTTGGACTGTGGGAGGAAACTGTGGGGAGAATGTGCAAACTCCACACAGACAGTCACCTGAGATTGGAATTGAACTCAGGTCCCTGGTGCTGTGAGGCAGCAGTGCTAACCATTGAGCCACTGTGCCACCCTGAATGGTGTTCTGTACTGTCTTTCAAGCTACACTTTCATCTGTTGGAGGCTTTTTGTTTTATAAACTACTCTACAACATCTCAGGCCAGATTTCCTTCCCCAAAGGATATTTGTGAAGTAGATTAATTTTTACAACATATCTGGTGGGTCTGGGATGTGTTGGCTCAAGTGCGGTGGCAGTGGGCATCCTGTGTGGAGCAGAGCAGAACGGAGTTGTCAGGTCCCGGGGATATGTTGGATCCCAAGGGGTGCAATGGCAGCCTCTCGGGGAGTCTGTCAGATTCCAAGGCTCGGGGTGTTGGGTCAGTATCTGGGGAGGTGTAGGAAGTCTGAGAGATGTGCATTTGGGGGCATGTGAGGCAAGTATGGGGTCTGTCGAATACTTATTCAGGAGTGAGACTATGTATTTAATAGTCTAATGTTTTCTGAGTATCTATTTTACTTAACTTTGTCAGAATTGTCTGAAGTCTCTATTTTAAATGAGACTTCTGAAGAGTTCCAGATGTAGAGGAATTTCCCAAATGAATATTCAATTTCCTAGGCAATTCCTTTGGAGTCAGCTATGGTAGAGATTCTGCAGCGTTGGCATGCATAATGACTGCCTGGCCAGTGGAGAATCCAGGCTATTGTGTGTTCAGTACTGGAAAGTAAATTAAAATCACTGCATTCACTATAGCCATGGTTGTGATGCCACAAAGAATGTTTGTTAATCTTGACATCTAAGTATAACTGCTACACCAGGCATATGAATAAAAAGGAACTGAAAAGATGGCAGAGCTGGAAAACTATACGGGAAGAGACTCCAAATAATTGGACTATTTTCTCCAGAACAAACCTGGAGCAGATTTAATTGCAGTTTTGATAGATGAGATAGAGAAAAGCCATTTCCCTTCATTTGTGAGTCAATGATGCAGACTCATCAAAGTTCAATTGTCTGTGAGAATGAGCAGAAATGGAACAAGCCCTTAGGCCCACGAAGCCTGTCCTGAGGTGTGAACTCGACTGAATTCTCTTTTCATTTGTTGTTCTTGTTTAAGTTCTAAATACACTCCTGGCAGTTAATTTTTAAAAATTCATTAAAGAGATGAGAGCGTCGTTGACCAGGCAGCATTTATTGCCCATCCCTAATTGCCCAGAGGGCAGTTCAGAATCAGCCACATTGCTGTGGGTCTGGAGTCACATGTAGGTCGGATCAGGTAAGGATGGCAGTTTCTTTGCCTAAAGGACATTAGTGAACCAGATGGGTTTTTCATCATTAATTCCAGATATTTTTATTGAATTCAAATTCCACCATCTGCCGTGGTGGGATTCAAACTCGGGCCCCCAGAACATTATCTGGGTCTCTGGATTAATAGTCCAGTGATAATACCACTAGGCTATCGCCTCCCCTGCAGTTACAGACCGCTGGCACAATTTTGGCACTTTTCTCCTTTCTTCCTCAGCCCTTGAAGCACTGATTTCTACAGGGCTGCATTTCCACTGCAGTTGTTTGTTACCTCACCGAGCCGGTTGTTCCATGGTGTGCAGACTTTTCATTATCATTCTAGGCAACCTCTAATTGAAGTATTGGTGTTCTGCTCTGTTCTGAATTTATATGATCCTCTGGTGTTATAGGTCTTGTCATTTCTTGTTCTGTTTTTTTAGCAGCGGTCTGTATACGGGGTCTATTTCTATGTGTACCCAGGAGGATCATGTAAATTCGGAATGGAACAGAACACCAACGCTTCGATTAGAGATCACATTGATGATGTTGCCTAGAATAGTAACAAAACATCTGCACACCACACTGGGGGCATCCAGGACAAAGCAACCTACTTGATTGGCACTATATCATCAAGTATCTACTCCGTCCACCACTGACGCTCAGTAACAGCAGTGTGTACTATCTGCAAGTTGCACTGTAGAAATTCACCAAAGATCCTCAGACAGCATCTTCCAAATCCACAACCACTTCTGTCGAGAAGGATGAGGGCAGGATATACATGGGCATGTCACCAAATGCAAATTTCCCTCCAAGCCACTCACTATCCTGACATAGAAATATATAGCTGTTCCTTCACTGTTGCTGAATTCCCTCCCTAATGGTATTGTAGATCACCGAACAGCAGGTGGACTGCAGTGGTTCAAGAAGGCAGCTCACCTCCACCTTCTCAAGGGCATCTAGGGATGGCTGATAAATGCTGGCCAGTCAGCAATGCCCGCATCTCTCAAATGAATTTTAAAAATGGGCATTCATTTTACATTAGGCTATTACAGAGTCACAGTCATACAGAATGGAAACAGGCCTTTCTGTTCAACCAGCCCATGTCGACCATGTTCCCAAACTAAACTAGCCTCACCTGCTGCATTTGGCCCGTATCACTCCAAACCTTTCCTATTCATGTACTTATCTAAAATGTCTTTTAAACATTGTAACTGTACCTGCATCCACCACTTTCTCTGACCGTTCATTCCACACACGAACCACTCTCTGTGTTAAAAGGCTGCCCCTCATGTCCCTTTTGAATGTTTCTCCTCTCACCTCAAAAATATGACCCTTAGTTTTGAATTCTCTGACCCTAGGGAAAAGACCTCTGCTGGTCGCCTTATCTATGCCCTCATGATTTTATAAACCTCAATAAGGTCATGCCTCAGCCTCCTACACTGCAGTGAAAAAAGCCCCATCTATTCCTGGCAATAACTTGGTAAATCTTTTCTGAACCCACTCCAGTTTAATAATATCCTTCCTATCACAGGGTAACCAGAACTGGACACAGTACTCCAGAAGGGGCCTTACCAATGTCCTGTACAACATCAACATGATGTCCCAACTCCTGTCCTGAAAGGCCTGAGCAATGAAGGCAAGCATGCTAAACACCACCTTAACCACCCTGTCTATTTCTGATGTAAATTCCAAGAATTATGTACCTGAACCCCTAGATGTCTCTGTTTTACAACACTAGCCAGGCCCTGCCATTAATTGTATAAGTTCTGTCCTTTTTTGTATTGCCAAAATGCAATAACAGACTTATCCAAATTAAACACCTTCTGCCACTTCTCAGCCTATTGGCCCAATTGATCAAAATCTCTTTATAATCTTAGATAACCTTGTTCACTGTCCACTATACCACCAATTTTGGTATCATCTGCAAATTTACTAACCATGCGTCCTATATCCTCATCCAAATCATTTATATAAATGACAAACAAAAATGGACCCAGTACCAATCCCTGTGGAACACCACTGATCACAGGACTCCAGTCTGAAAAACAACCCTACACTACCACCCTGTCTCCTACCATAAAGCCAATTTTGTATCCAATTGGTAAGCTTGCCCTGAATCACACGTGATTAATTGGAGCTTCATTTGTGTATGTTGAAATCGCACTGTATGATAATAATAATGAATATGGCTTTATGAAATTTTCTGAAGAAGGGTCTAGGCCCGAAACGTCAGCCTTCCTGCTCCTCTGATGCTGCTTGGCCTGTTGTGTTCATCCAGCTCTACACCTTGCTATCTCAGATTCTCCAGCATCTGCAGTTTCTACTATCTCTGGCTTTATAAAAGTTACTATTAGTACATTTTTCGGTATCACAATGTGCATTCATACAGATGTGTTGACTTTTCAATGACTAATGTTATGCAGAATGACTAATTTCAGTTCCATAGAGTTTCTGATGAGAAATGACTGTACCTTTGATTCCTTAACTATTAGCAGTAATACTTTATATGCTCTAGCCAAACAAAGTAAGGCGCTGGGAGCATACAAACTGGCCCGGCATGCCTATGACAAACTACAGGGTCTTCGCATTCCTGCCAGGTTCCAGAAGTCCATTGGGCTAGGTAGCCTGACGATTCGATCTAAGCCATTCCATGACAGTGAGGTGAGGAATTTAAAGACCTACTGCTTGCAATTGGACCAAAGCATTAAAAATAGAACTTTGTATTGAAAAAAGGAAATCTCAAGGGAGATCTAGAGACAGGCAATAATTACTGACCAGCCAGCAATGTTTGCATCCCATGAATAAAAAAAGACTCTTGGAGACAGAGGAGAGATGCTTTGCTCCCGTTGGAGCTGGGTAGGTTAAGGGGTGATTTAATGAAGGCATTCAAAACCTTGAAAGATTTCAATAACATTAATAGAACGTTATACTAAAGTGGTAGAAAGGTTAGTAGAGGCAGATTTTGATTGGCAATAAAACCAGAAGTGACCTGTGAAAACAATTTTTACGCAGCGATTGTCATGCACTGAAATACATTGCCTGATAGGGAACGAAAGGGAAGTTCTTGGAAAAGTATGTGTTTGATGATATGAAAAGAGTGGGGGAGAATGGGATCAATTGGATAGCTCTTTCAAATAACCAGCATAGGCATGATGGACTGAGTGGTGTCCGTCTATGTTGAATTATTCCATGATTTTTTATAAACTATTTTTCTGTAAGTACCAGATACTATGCTATGCAGAGATATCAGAAGTATGTGAATAAATTATTTTAAAGAGAATAAATAATTTTAATAAACAAATTGAAATGAAAAGTAACTTTTTTTACATTAGTACAGGTAAAGGTACTGATTCAATACTGCCAGCCTGAGGCACATGGGACAGAAGATAGATTGAATGAAGTGGCTGCAACAATTGGTGGCCTTTTTTCAAACTGCAGTTCCTTTGGAGAACACAGTTGGAAGTGTAGAATCAGTAAATCCAGCCTGTAGATCAGACTATACGTAGAACATTGAAATACTAAATTAAAACAGCATAAAGGAAATGAAAAAAGTCTAATTAACAGAATGCATAAGGCTCTAGAAGGTATTCTCAGCTCTAAAAGGACTGAGAATACTTATGCTCACCCAGGAAAAGGGAGACACCTTACATGTTTTGAGTGACATTAGTGTCATTTTGCCCTCCTGTTCATTTTTTTGTTTATTGCTGAGAAAAGAGACATTTTGTCAAGTATTTTTGGCTTACACTCATCAGGATAGATGTAAGAATGCCAAATTTCAAAAGCAACAACGATTTATGTTCTATGAGAAACAGATGCTGATTGGCAAGTCAATGAGCTAAAGGCATGGGGAATGCATCAAGGAACTATTGCCCTTGGCATTTTTGCTTAATTTAAAAAAGGCACAAAACTTGATATACTTCCTTCCCTTTTTAGAGGTCGGGATCCTACATATGAATATATGTAACTTCTAGTATCATAAGTGAGTCAGATGCTGACGTTGACTGATTATGCTAATTGGTTGTCAGTGTAATTCTTGGAGCACTCAGAATTCTTGCATACTCACAAGTGGGCCAAGGGTCATCACTTTCAGACCTGAAAAATGCCCAGTGACTTCTCAAGGTATCTCAAAATTTGCAAAATAAGTGACGTTAGTGTTTTATGATGCAATTATGTAATAATAACTCCAGTGATGTTCTCTGCCAACAGGGTTGTGTCAAACCAAAATTACATTCTGTCTTTCCCACATAAATAATGTGGTATTTGAATTTAATGCTGGTGACGTGCCAGTTTTGCAGTTCATATGGTATTATGGTCGTATGGCCAGTCCATGAGGTATATTTGGAGTTTCAGAAAGCATTTGACAAAGTCCCACATATGAGGTTAATGTGCAAGATTAAAGTGCATAGGACTGCGGAAAGTGCATTGAGATGGATAGGAACCTGGTTGGCAGAGAGGAAACAAGCATAGGAATTAATGGTTCCTTTTCAAACTGGCAGGCAGTAACTAGTGGGGTGCCACAGGGATCGGTGGTGGGACCCCAGCTATTCATAATATATATTCATGATTTGGATGAGGGAACGAAATGTAACATCCCCAAGTTTGAAGATGATGCCAAGTTGGATGGGAGGGTGAACTGTGACAAGGATGCAGAGATCCTTCAGTGTGATTCCGACAGGTTAAGTGAGCAGGCAGATCAATGGCAGATGCAGTATAATTTGGATAAATGTGAGGTTATTCACTTGGGAAGCAAAAACAAGAAGGCAGTTTACTACCTGAATGACTGACTGTAAATTGGAACAGGGGAATGTGCAGCAGGACCTGGGTGTCCTTGTGCACCAGTTGCTGAAGGTAAGCATGCAGGTGCAGCAGGTGGTAAAGAAGGTAAATGGTATGTTGGCCTTCATTGTGGGAGGTTCTGAGTACAGGAGCAGGGATGTGTTGTTGCAGTTATACAAGACCTTGGCGAGGCCACACCTGGAATATTTTGGTATCCTTTTCTGAGAAAGAATGCTCTTGCTTTTGAGGGAGTGCTGCAAAGGTTTACCAGGCTGATTCCAAGGATGGCAAGTCTGATGTATGAGGAGAGATTGACTAGGCTGGGATTGTTTTCGCTAGAGTTCAGACGAATGAGGGGGTATCTCATAGACAGTTATAAAATTCCAACAGGACTGGACAGGGTAGATGCAGGTAGGATGTTCCCGATGGTGGGTGTGTCCAGAACCAGGGATCACAGTACGAGGACTCGGACTATACGATTTAGGACAGAGATGAGGAGACATTTCTTCACCCAAAGAGTGATCAGCCTGTGGAATTCATTACCACAGGAAGTAATTGATGCCGAAACATTGAAAGTATTCAAGAGGCATCTAGATATAGCACTTGGGGCAAATGGGGTCAAAGGTTATGGGGAGAAAGCAGGATTAGGCTGTTGAGTTGGATGTTCAGCTATGATCATGAAGAATGGCAGAGCAGGCTCGAAGGGCCGAATGGCCTTCTTGTGCTCCTAACTTCTATGTTTTTGTTTCTAAACAGCACATCCTTTCAGCTTTTTATACTAAGGAGTACTGACCGCGCTTGCACAACTGAGAACATCATGTCTAATGTTACATATGATCCTGATTAGCCAGCGCTCCCTAAACAATCTCCAACGTGCAATATATTACACTAAATAACCATTTAAAATTACCGGTATAGAGTCTCAAAGCCAATAACCTTGGGACCAAGTCACTGTTGACTTACTGGTTTTTGGGTCAGGCACATGGGACTGAGATTGGTCTGGTGGGGTCCAAGATCACTTGGCGTGTAGGAAAAGACCACCATGTAGAGCAGATTGGTCGTCTAAAACATCCCACAACAACACAGCACCTAGCTGAACAATCCATTGTGTGATTTTACTTTATTAAATAAGAATTGAAGGATGTCATGGCAGTTTATCTGGTGTTTGGATAATCCGATTTGAGACCATGTTCTTGTAGCCGTCACTGTAGCAATGTGGCTCATTTCCATTTGCTAGATGTTCTGTATACTCAAATCCTGGTACCAGGGTCTGCAGGCATCTTTTTTGAATTAATGAAAAGCATGAAGTACAATCATTTCCTTCAGCATTCTCTATGGTAACATTTTGACCAATCAGTGTTAAGCTGCTGACCAGTCACAAGCACCTATTTCTCATGTAGAATAGATTGTTCCCTTTGAACCTTGGCATTCTCGCAATTCTGCCCTGATGAGTGCAAGACAGAAAGCTTCAACAGAATATTTCTTCTTTCCAGCAATACTTAAGTTCTCCACCATCAAGTAATCATTCCTTTGTTTCTTTCTCTTGTGTGTTTCTTGCCTTTAACAGCCCTAAGAGAAATCTTTGTATCCTCACTGGCTACAGGGGAGGTCCCAGAGGATTGGAGAATAGCCAATGTTGTTCCTTTGTTTAAGAAGGGTGGCAGGGATAATCCAGCTAATTACAGCCCAGTGAGCCTTATGTCAGTGGTAGGGAAATTATTGGAGAGGATTCTTCGAGATAAGATTTACTCCCACTGGGAGATAAATGGGCGTATCAGTAAGAGGCAACATGGTTTTGTGAAGGGGAGGTCATGTCTCACTAACTTGATTGAGTTTTGTGAGGAAGTGACGAAGATGATCGATGAGGGTAGGGCAGTGGATGTTGTCTACGTGGACTTCAGTAAGGCCTTTGACAAGGTTCCTCATG